AGAAGAAAGATAAACCCATGCAATTGCAAAGCTGCTGATCAATTAACATGATTTACTGTAGCGGCTCCTTGGACATAGCCGTTTCCATGCTAAACTGACTCCCGGTGTCCTACTGTAGGATAGACCCGTTCCTTCATCCACACCCTGGGGATGACTTGTGGCAGAATAAACAGCCATTTGGACCCTCATCTCTCTCCGCTGTGACTCTTTCCATGGAAATATGCGGCTTGAATCAACGCTCGTGATGACACCACAAGCCATTCTGTTTTGTGTTAAGTGTGGTTTGGGCCCATGAAGTGGAGAGAAACACACAATCGCAGAATTTTTTTTTCCTTAAAAAAAAAAAAAAAACACAAAGCAGATACAAGTGCGCGTGCACAGGCACACACACAGAGCGCGTAGTTGCTATGCCACACAAACACATGTACCCCATCACAGATGCACACGCTAGTACAACAACACACACATATCTCCTCCCTCAGTCCCCAGAGTCACCCATCCTGAAATAGCAGAACTGAGGCCTTTTCAGTTTTTCACTTCATAGAACAGAGCTGGGGAATCAAATAAATAATAGACAAAGAGAGAGGGATAGTGATAGGACGACAAGTCAATGCATCTTTTCTCTGCAACAGTGTGGCACACCTCTGAAGAACCTCTGAATCCCTTCCATTCTCCACACAGTGGAGAGGACCAATAGATTAAAACTGCATGGCACACACTGCTAAAATGAATAGCGCTAAAAATACATCCTTTTCACCGAGACATGAAAGGAAACTGCCTTTCCCCTGTCCAGTATTGAGCAGCCATTGATTCCAAGACAAAGGCTACACCTCCTCAAAGAGGTAAGAAAAATAGCAATCATACAGGCAATTATTTTCAAATGTGCCTGCAGCGGCCGATAATGTCAGCGCGCTTCTCTTCCTAAATAAAGGGAGGGAAGGCAGGCGTCAAAGCTGCAGGCCCACTGCTGAAGACGAATGAGCCCATCCGCAGAATGCTTCGCTTTCATCTGGGCAGCGTGACATGGCGCCCCGTGCAGTGTTAGGCAGAACTGGGCCTGGGGGACAGACGCATACAGACAGAGAGAAGAATATAGATTCTCTATTCAGCTCTATGGAGCCAACACCAAGGCAAAGACCTTCTAAAGACCAGTGGCCAGATTGCCAGTGGCTTTCTCTTGTAGCCCTGCCATAGACAAAAATCGCTGGGGCTCCACAGCCCATAGCATAGTTCTCTCTATGGGGCAGCAGCACACAGTAGGCCTCTTTAGATGGACCTTTTCTAAAGACAGAGACAGAAGCAGACATTCTCCCTCTCTAGGCGTGTACTTCAGACTTAGGCCTTTTCATTTTGATGTGCAGCAGCATCTGAGGAAAGGGGGGATAGAAAGCCCTCTGCTGGGTTCAGCCCTCCACACTGCTGAACTACTCTAATGTTGTGAATAGAAATCTTCACTGGACCGGCTTCAAAGGCAGAAAATCAAGAGGCAGCAATGAAAGGGAGGGGCAAGGGAAGGAAGGACAAACTGGAGGCAAATAAAGAGGTCAACCTAAGGAGAAATCTGGGCAGTTGTTGAAATCAGATAGGACAGATTCACATGAAGAAAGGAGTTGTTTCCTTTCATTTTTCTGTCTCAGCAGCCATTAACGTCCTCATACACAGCCTACCACACACGGAATTGCTTACGCCCCAGTTTTCTAAAGTTAACAGATTGAGAGAGGTAGAAAATGGGAGCAGCAAAGCATGGATAAAGGTAGAGAGGGATCGACTGAACACTGGGGATGGACAAATAAATACAAGAAGTAAGCAGAGTCGAGAGAGAGAGAGAGAGAGAGAGGAAGAGAGAGAAAGGAAGAGAAGAGAAGAAGAGAGAGACTCCTCACCTACTTCAACCACTACTTATGTGCTGCAGTGGAAAGCCCTGCGGTCCATGCCTTAAGGCCCTGAGCCCACGCTTGGCCTATCAGTTTAAGATCAAAAAGAGCTCGCTTTAGCAAGACATATGGACTGAATAATGCATCTGCTTTATTTCCACAAGGCTGGACCAGCTGAGTGGCAGAAAGAAAAAAAGGAGGCAAATGTGCGCGCCATATAGTTCTATTTGTTTATTATGAATGTATATGTGAGTCTGTGTATGAGTATGTGCCTGTCTAGCTCTTATGAGCGTGTTTGTTTGGAACCAGTTTTTCTACAGGCCAACTAGTCTCTCCACAGTGTCAGTCATTGTGATTGGACAGTGAATACGGTAGCCTGTAGCGTGCTAGAAAATGGGCTTCTGTGATGTCTCATTTGAATAGTCTGACAGCCAAGGGTGGAGGAGCAGCCTTGTAATGAATTATAAATACGAGGTGGGCGCAAGTTTCCCGGCAAACTGCTGAGAAAAGGTGAAGCACAAAGTCAAGTTCAGTCAGAAACAAACCAGGCTTTGCAACCTGCAAGGATGTATGTACTGTATGATATCTAGTCAGCCTGTGCTAGTTTAAGAAAGAAAATAATGTGGCACCAAGAGAGGGAGGCAAACACAAGCATATGTAGGTGCGATTATTCCAAGATTACTGCCGTGTGCTGTTCCCAGATTAGACTAATACAGTATCTGGAATGGGAGTGAACTCTGCTTAAACATAATAATTCTGGCCAACATCATGAGGCTTAACATTTTGTTACTAATAAGCCAAAAGTCCATGGCTGGTTAAGCAGCAGTGTCATGTCTGGAGCAGGCAAAGGTTGTGCTCTTGGACCTGTGACCCTTGACCTGTGGCCTATAGTCTGGGTAGGACTCCCGCTGATGATGATTTATGGTGGAAAATGGAGGAGAAAGTGGGATTTATAGCCTGGATTCTGCTAATGACTTAAACTAGGAGTGACAGGATTTACCCACACATAGTGCACAATAATGTTTCCCCCAAAACAAGTCCATGGTAGGTGTATGAGTATGACACTTAATTATTGGAAATTTCCACAGTGTGTTTTTGTTGTCATTTGTCAGTTATGTCAGTATCACCTTCTTGTAAAAAAAAAAAACCTTACCAAAACACAAGTGTGTTGTGTTTCTCAAATTAAGCCAGGCCTCAGTGCCAGTATGTCACCAACGCTCCTTCCCCTTTGCAGGGATGAGTCATCATAATAACCTACACCTCAACATCTTCCTGTCCCAGACACACTTCTTTAAGACACTCTGGGAAGACAGGACAAGTGGAGAAGGACTTGCACTAAGCTCGGACATTGAGTCTGCGAGGCCAACGAGCATGTCCTTGGCCTTCTAACAGTCAGGGACGGTGTGAAGGACGCCATTGGCCCGATGACACAGTTCTGCTGCTTGGCTTGAGCATTACATAGTGTAGCACTGCCATGTCTCAGTAGGGATATATGACCTCCTTCTAAATCCTCATCGCAGACAAGCAATCTTTACATCTGCAACAGTGGGGGACTCTTTCCCTTTCTATTGAAGGCCAGTGACAGTGGAGCGGCCATAATTCCCCCCCATCCATAGAATCCTAACTGCAGTGAGCAGCATCAAATACAGAAAAAGAAATGTTATTAAAAACACCGAAAAGGAAAGGCTCTTTATTGAGGCGGTTGCTCCATCTAGTGGCGAGCTTGTTATACTACATGTACTTTGACACAATAGTTAAAATAAAAGATAAAGTCATATCCACAGCAACACATTTTAAGATGAGAGCGGCGTGGCACCATACAAAACACATAGCTGGGATATAAATATGTTTGTTTTTGTATGTTAAAACAGAGTACACAGTTTGTAGCCAGCTATAAAAAACACACAGGGCAAGAAAAGCTAAGTTTGTCACAGTGAAAACAACTACAGCTGGTCCCGACAGAGGAGTGACAGGGACAGAGGAAGGCTAAATGAAGTTGCTTTTTGAAGCGATCTTCACAAGCTGCATGGAATTAGCCTGTAAACCAATTTAACACAACAGGGCTTAACTCACCTGTCCATGTCTTCTGTTCTGGGATAATGTAATATTTATTCCCCAGATGATCTGTACCGACGTGATTGCGTACTAATCCAAAAGCACGCCGCAGAACGCCAGCAATCCTGCTCATCTTTACAGGACAACCCAAAGGTTTTGGGTTTTGGGTTGTGTTTATGTGTCCCTTGTTGGCTGTCTGTCCTCTAACTGGGTTGTTTATGCAAGTGTTCGTGGGTTGGGGAAGAGAATCAACAAACTGCTTTGTGATTGGACGGCTATACTTGACCAGCCAATCACCACCTTCGTCATAGAATGGGCAATACGTTCCAGCATGGCGGCTTTTTGTGTGGCTCTGCTGCGAAAGTAGTTCATTTAATGTAAAATGAAGAAGAAATGAGCAAAGCAGAGTATCCCTGTGAGGTTTAAATGGCGTATTAAGCTCCGGAGCTTTGGGTACAGTATCACGCCTTGTTGGGCGGCCATACTTTGAGTTTGGATTTAAAAACTCAAACTTCAATGTAGCTAACATGCTAGCCTTTGAGCTGGGTTAGCTAACGAAAGCAGAGATTAAAAGCTAGCCCTGGTCTTTAATGAAGGACAGTTTTTCTTTAAGTTGAAGCAATGTTGGGGTTTCTGACAGCGAGACAGGCTGGTCTGGATGACCCTCTGCGACTGAGACGTGCAGAGTCAACGAGAAGGTGAGAGAATAGAAGTATCTCAACTAGAAAGGAAAGGAAATAACTTAAATACACATATTCATTTATCAGTACTCCGCTCCTAGACCTAATGGCGCCATGTATGGAGTCTCGTATATATCAGGTTGTTCCATTGACAGTCTCTTGAAAGGGTAAATGAATAACAGCTGGTACGTCTGAGGATTTGAGAAGCCTTTGTTAGCTGATGTTTGTACACTTCGCTCAATAGATTACTTTTGCTGTGTCCCTTTGATTATTATCTTATTATGCACATGTCTTTGGGCTTTAAAGGTAAATGTGAGTTGATGGAGTGTCCAGTGATGCATCGCTCTTCCTCTTTCTGTTTCTCCAAAGGGTCCTCAGTCTGAAGTTGAATCCTGACAGAGACGTGGACAGAATCCATGGAAATGGCATCAACGCCATTGACATTGAAGCAGTAGAGGGTAGATAGTAAGTCCACTTAGTCCTAATTTAATTTAACTGATTTATACATTACTATATTACAATCCCCTAGACACTGTAGCTGTGAAGTAGCAGCTGTAGGTCTATCCTAGACAAAGATTTGTGATAAGAGCGTAGTGCAATAGAGGTGAATGGCATTTAGTCTTTGACTATACAAAGCATGGGGAAGTAAAAATTGAAACACAGGAGATCTAAATCTCTTGAAACTATCTTCTAGTCACCTAAGGTAATGCTGTGTCATGGCAGGAAAATACATTGTAAACTGTGCTGGAGGAAGTAGTGCTATATGTGAAGTCAACCCTGTCTGTTGTTTAGCATGTTGTCTGGTGGAGCGGATGGCGTGATCGTAATCTATGACCTGGAGAACTTCAGTGGGAAACCACAGTACACCTGCAAGACAGTTTGCACAGTAGGCAGGTGAGAATTACTCCATTTACTCATTCTGTCCACTAGAGGGAAGCACTGCGTTACGTTCTCACAGCACCATATCTTTCTAAGCTTGCCCACGACCATGGCTTTCCGCACATTTTACTTAAATCATCCTTTTTGATGTGATGTGAGTAGAATCCTACTATATATTTTGTAGACTTTACTTAATACTGGGGGCTGATTCTGATGCAGATCTAAGTTGGGCAATGTGACCTCAGTATGAACAGTAATATCAGAACGCATTGACTGAATGATTGCCATAAAATCCTACACACTGGACAACAATGGAAGCAATGCATGTCTGCACACTCATAGTGTCGGAATGTACATTGCAGTAATCCAAACCTGTTTCCGCCCACAGAGATAGGGACCATCTTTCCTTGAAGACTGACATGTTATCATTACTGAAAGCAGTAAATATTTTCCATTGATATGCATTCTAAAAGGAGGTTCATATATATTTTTTTATATTTTAGATTATTTTTGGGGCTCTTTATTGCCTTTAGTGTAGCTGAAGAGTGACAGAAGAACAGGGAGAGAGAGAGGGGAGGACATGCAGCAGGGCCACAGGTTGCAATTGAACCAGGGCCTCTGCAGTAAGGAGTTAGCCTTTGTACACGCGCATACTCAACCAGGTGAGCTCACAGTTGCCCCCAGTGATGAATATTTCTAGAGGTTGTTTTTTTTCAGTAGCGGAAGCTTTTCTTGTACTTGTTGTTGTTAAGTTCATTTCTGAAGTGTCTCGTAGCAGACAGAGCTGCGGGGCTGCTGGAATTCTGCAGTCAAAGATGTGAAGCGAGTTTTTGTTTTAAAGAGTCCCAAAATGAGTGATCTGGTTGGCAAGCAGGCCCAGAGAACATGATAATAATTAACTGCAGTGCTCACTGCGCATCGTGATATGACTTTGTTTTTTTAATTTAGGTCGAGTCGGCACGTCCACAAATTCAGTGTCGAGACAGTGCAGTGGTATCCTTATGACACAGGCATGTTTGTCTCGAGTTCCTTTGACAAGACCATGAAAGTCTGGGACACTGAGACACTGAAGGTAAGAAATGTCACCCACAGACAAGGTTACTCCAATGTTAATACGATACACACTGAGTTACCAGTTTATTAGGTACACCTGTACAATCAGTTTCCCTGTGTGCGGTGTGTAAATTGGGATAAACATAATTAGAAAGAAATTTCAACATAATTCTGTCCAGTATAGCTTTACAATACAGCTGAATCATCATATAACCTTATAAAACTATAATTATAATAATAGCTTGTGCATATTGCAGGTTGGCTTATTAAGTAACTAGATGACATTTGTTTTCTTATAGCTCCACCACCCTTTCTCTCTTTTTGCTCTTTTTGCTATCTCTTCCCGCCTCTTTCTTATTTTCTGCTTCATGCTTTCTACCTTTCTATGCCACATAGTCCCATATGGCAGGCCCTGAGCTGTGCTAGAGTTACACTGGCACCACGGTTACCTCAAAAGGTCAGGGAAGGGACAGAAAAGAACCTACCGCCCCTTCATTGATTTTACTCTGTGTGTCTTCATCTCCGTGTCCTGCACAAACACACACTCATAACTATTAAATTATTTATTGTGGTTATGTAGTTCCACATTATTGTGTGCTTTGCATTCGTGTGCACATCGTGTATTTGTATGTGTGGTATTTCTATGTAAACAGAGCCTCCTCTGTGTGTGTGTGTGCTCATTGGCTGAGTCCATGCCGGTGCTGGCACACACTGACAGATGGGGCACAGAGAGGCTTTTTATATTTGCTGAAGAATTTGCATTGTAACCGCCACTTCTGCTCGGGTGAGCTGCCTTCTGAGCTGCTTCCCCCTTCCCTCTCTACTTGTGTTTATTTTTACCTAATTCGTTCTCTGAACCCCATCCCTGCACTGTGGTCAGTTTATACTACAGTTAAACTTTAAGGCCATGCCTTTATTTAAGGACACGATGTTCATTCAGCGTACATACACAAGTGTACAAAGCATTTAACATACAGATAGCTGAATTTCCTCTGTAGCTTACTGACCCTTTCTGTCTGTCTCTCACTTTTCAGCCTGCTGAAGTCTTTGAGTTTGAGGGAAATGTCTACAGCCACCACCTGTCCCCCATCGCCAGAAAGCACAGTCTCATTGCAGGTGTGTGTGGATGCAGCCACAGTTTACTGATCTCAGTGACGCAGAACCAACCACCTGGAGTTGGCATTTGTAACACTGCGTACTAAAAAGCATTGAACTTGGGACCAAAATCGCATTAGTTAACCTGTATGACAGTTTATTTCTCCTAGCAGTATATTTAAGTCTTTCTCCACAGATACCACCCCTACCTTGTACTCCAGTTTTTAACCCAGGTTATAATGTTACATGTACCTGGAGGTAGGAATGTAAAGATATATCACAAGACAGTTAAATCGCAATAGAAAAATGTGAATAAATCGGTGAGATGAACAATGAATCATGATGCTCCACTACACGATATGTCACTCGTGTCAGTAGCCCTATCATCAGTTTCACTTTTACAAAGAAAAGGAAACCTGTATTGTTTTGCACAGTTTATACCTCAGGAATGAAAAGGGATTCTATCATTTGATAAAGAAAATATAATAGAAAAAATATTTTATACGTAGGTTTTTGTCTGAAAAATAAAGGAATTGATTTTAGTCATAATTAGTATTTATATATTATTTGTGAACTGTATGGAATTGTGAGTTGAGTGTATCATTACATCCCTACCTGGAGGGGACAGAAGTGGGCCTGCAGCTAGTTATACATGGATTCAGGTTCAGAGACAAACGTAAGAGGGAAAAAAACAACGTAGGAATCTTCCTTACCTCGTCACCTGGCAGGACCAACAGGTTTCTTGTGCCTGCTGAGTATGTGCTCATAAGTGCTTCCTGTCACATACACATACGCCCCTTTGACACACCTAAACCAGAGACAGTGTTTTTTTTTCTTTTTTTTCTTTCTTTTTTTTCGTCCTTCCGTCTCAGTGGTGTTACAGATGCTTGTCAGACAAGTTGGAAACCTCCCTGGAGTCTTCTATTTTGCCAAGGATTCCCAAAAAAGCACTTGTTGCTCATTCATTATGCATAATTTGAGCTTTTTACATTTTAATTATGTCCCGATCATCTTCTTTGTTCTGTTAAATTTCAACAGCTATGTTTTCCTCCTCCCGTGTATACAGGCTGGGTGTGTTAGCTCATGTTTATCAGAGGTTTGTATCAGTGAGTTTTTTTTATATTTACCACACCTTAGCTGTGAGAACCTGGGACTCCAGTTTTTACTCTTCTCTCTCTCTTATACACCTGTTGAAGCTGATTAAACTCACACATTTAGTAGTAGGGATGTGATATTGAAACTGTACCATGTAATGGAATTTTTAACTTTCAAGTTATCCCTGTAAATTCCCCTTTTCCAGGCTTTAAAAATTAGACAACTTTTGAGTCTCCTCCCACAACTGTTTTTTTGTTTTGTTTTCAGTTGGCACCAAAAACCCTAAAATCCAGCTGTGTGACCTGAAGTCTGGTTCACGGATTCATGTTCT